ACCCACACCCACACCCACACCCACACCCACACCCACACCCACACCCAATACGGATTTATAATATTAATGTGTTATACTCGTAATTAATTTCGCTAGTAAAGTCGGCATCTAAAAACATTCGAAACTCGGTAAAAATCAGAAAAAAAGCTTGTCAGCACAGCTCATTTGGAGCTGAAATGTGGAAATCACGTATGTTCTTCAGCTTAATTATACTAATATCAAATATAGAAAGTATAAAATCAAGAAATTCTAAGTTTTTTAATTTTCTGACAGGCGCTCGTATTTTTCGTTTTCATTGTTGCTATTCGTTTAGTATTTTTCATTTTTCGCGATTTTTTTGTCTTAATTTTATATATTTTTTTAATTATAATGATAGAATTAATTGGCAAACACATCTGTTGTGCATATCGATTATATCTTATGTTTTTCATACAAAATCTTTCGATAATAGTAAAAACTTCTCAGGACTAGAAAATAACGATTATCACTGGCGATTCGCATTCTATTAACCACTATCGAATTAATAAGAAAAACAGATTAATATATCTATAATAACGAAACAATACTTCTTACAATCCTTTCTCTAGTCCTTTGATGTCTTTATCCTTTTTCTGCTGTTTGTTTTATATAATAAACAGTTGCTAAAAACATCTTAAGGCACTAATAGGCACCAGCAGAACACAATCGAATAGTAAATTCTCTTTACGATGTTTTGTAAATTTTCGACATTCTTATATATCTGACATTTTTCTTCTCAATATTTTCGGCATTCTACATTTTTTATTTCGTCTTTTTTTTTGATATTTTTGTATGTCCGCGTTTTTTTCTATTCGATGTTTTCTTCAACCATTTTTATACTATTTCTTTCTTCCTTCATGATCTAGTTGTTATATACTTTTTTTTTAATACTCTGTGGCTGAAAAAATAAAAAATTCATGCTTGGTATAATACGTAGATGTCATGTTCGTCTGTTCTGTTTTGCAATCTGTCATACTAATGGTGCAATGACATGCATACGGAATTCATGCTATGCTCCAGTTTGTTTATTTTTCTTTCCCCATCCGCTCACAGGTAAGAAGATGAGTCATTACTTGTTTCGAAAGTAAATATTATTTCTTGATGCAGTTCAAAGTATGAAAAATGGCATGACACATATGTGACTATTGCATTTTCGAAAACAACTATTTTCAACAACATACAATAACAATCAAATGTTGGTGTCGTTCTTTTGGTTTGTTGTGAATTTCATGCGGTCTCTTTTCTGGTTTGGTCGACGGCGACATGGCCACAACGATGCTGAGATAGAAATAGACATTGAAGTTTTTCGTTTACACATGTATCTTTCGAAGATGTTAAAAGAAGGGTAAGTCTTTTATCAAGTTGAGTCCCTGACAGCATCAGTAACATAACTTCATTGAAAAGCCATGTGTTTCTTTGATTAAACTCCAATTTAAAAAAGTTTTATGTGACCTCTTAGATAGGAAAAATTTGATATGAGCTATCTACCAATGGTTTTCACCGATTTTAAAGTATTTTTAAATCTTGTATTGAGTCCAGGCTCCGCGCGAAGATTCCAGGATTGGGGGTGTGAAGGGACCGTGAGGCAGCCAAGCTTAAGGGAAACAAAATTTTTTTCGCATTAGATCTGATATTAATGTTTCTCTTGCAACATAAAGTGTAACAATTGTTCGCGAAGCGAAAATTTTTTGCAACCTTCTTAAAAAATTCGACTTTTCTCGGGCAAATTTTCAAGAGGACGATTCATGTCTAATGTAAGAAAATTTCTTAATAATTCAGTCGCCAAAGGCGGCTACGCTGCCAACGGTTTCTCTCGATTAGGTCTTTCAATGGAAAAATTGACTAAAGTTGAGAGTCTTTCTAAGTTAACTGCGGTTACGAAACTGTTACTTTTCGCGAAGCGGAAACTTTTCTCAGACTCATGCAAAACTCTTCTTGTGCTTATTTTTTTGAAAGGAAAAAGTGTTGCGATAACTCGTAGCAACTTTGCTGCCGAAGACAGTCACCAAGTGATGACTGCTTGAAAATGAAGCCGTTCGGAAGGTAGAAAGCAATAAAATTGTCATAAAAATAGACAAGTTATAGATATTTTTAGGCCAAATACACTCATATGGTTATTTCTTCGCGAAGCGAAAAATTTTAACATCTTAGAATTTTCTAGCAAAATCATCGTTTAGACTGCGTTTCGAGTAAAAACCCAGCTGAGTTCTTCAACTTGCCACAGAACTTCATGTTTTTCATCGATATTCCAACGATAGTTCACAACTATTTGGGAAAGGTCATCCCCTAACTCCCTCGCTACTCGGGATCCCTTTGAGAGATGTCTGAAAAATCTATAGCAGGTATGGCACTTTAACAATTCATAAAAAAAAATCATCCACTTTGCCGCCTAATAATAAATAATTTCCAATTATTGGGGGGTGTACACCCTCCCCCCCCCCGCTTTCGCGGGGTCTGATTCAGTACTATTGATTTAGAGGTTTATAATATAATTGCAATTCTTTTTAAAATATCTGACTAGGTATGACCAAATGTCAATAGGTGCTATTAGATCATTAGGAAACAAAAGTAAATTTGATTATGTGCTCATTGAAAAGTAGTACTGAATTCTTCTCATCCATTTCAAACTAACCTACCAAAATAAATACTGTTTTGTATGTTTTCTATGAGAAAAAATACAGTAATATCTACAATTTTTCTAGACCGGACCAGTTAATAACTGCCATCGGTTGCATCTTTGCATTGGTTGTTATATACATAGATTAATAACCACAGTGCAGATATTTTTCCAATCATTCATGTTTCTGCTACAAATGAAATAAGCTTCATGTGACTCTGACAGAAGTTTTATTATTTCTAGCTGATTTATTTTCAGGTCGATCCTATCTTTATCTAAACATGCGCCGAAATTCCCAATAGTCCGGCAGTACAGCAAATTCAAATCGGTTGATGACTTTCCTGTCTGTTTTATTATTAATTTCATGCATTTTCATCCTTATTGTCATGTTCTGGAGCGCGTCACTCCTCACTTCACGAATCCAACACGTGTTTTCTTTCGACTTCATTATGCCGAGGCAGAGTCTCTTTGGCTTGATGCCACAAGTCCATCAGAATACGGCGGTTCAGGAGCATGTGAAAAACTTGCATTTTTTGGTGACAATATTTTACGTTATCACGTAATTGAAATACTTCGTCAGCGACATCCAGAAGCATCGACACATCAGCTTGCAACGATGAAAGAAGAATATCTAACAAATACAAAACTCAACAATTGTTCAAATTGGTTTCACTTCTCACATTGGTTAGTAAAGAGACAATCTGCTTCACCTCAGCCATCTCGTCGAAGACGGCGCTCTTTTCGACATACCGGCAAGAAGGCACTTTTTCATTTACCTGGTAAAGTTGCAGCGACGGTTATCGAAGCTTTGCTAGCTGCTACCGACCAGTTTCATAAGAAACAATTTACGCGTCAGTGTGTTTTAGGTCTAATGAAGCTTATGGAAAACGTTACATGCACGTCTGAAGATGAACCTGTCGCTGTTGTTGGTTGTGGTACTGCTGTTTACACAGATCATAACTTAACCCATATCACAGGTTTATTAACTTGTGATCCAAATCATCCGCATGGTGTCTCTTTTATGGATCCAGATGATATGATACAAGCTTTTAAAAACAGTCAGCACAATTAATTATATCATTTTCTTGAATAAACTTCAGTGGATACATGGGCTTTAAACAAAAAATAAACACATTCTATAAATCTCACTTTTGTAGATGAATTTAACTTTGAAAGCATTAAAAAAATGCTGTAACCTGCTCCTCAGAATAAAAAGGCATGGCTTTCTATTACGTTCCAGTGAATCGAGCTGTTTTTTTTGGTCGCGTTCTATTGTGGATGGCCTTCTTGGATTCTTTGAGTTTGTTTTAGCTCGCGTTTTTTTATAAATACAACTAAATGATCTAATATTTTGGAATTGGCTGTGGTTTGACTAGACGTTTCATTTAAGATAGTAAAGTCAAAAAAAATTTTCTTCGGCACCGTATAAGTAGAGTAGGGTAATCTTGTGACGGACTCTCTCTTAAATATATGATCTCTTTCTTACATCAATATATAAAAAAAAAGACAAAACTAGAAGAAGCAATAAATTCGTATTGCTTCCCCAAAATTTTTTTATAAGGAAAACAATAGTTACACCTGGTCTTGCTGGCGCTTCACTTCTACAGTACATTATGACTCTGCTTCTCTTTGGCAGATCAGACATCTAATGAAGTTTATCTTTGTTCAGCGAGAGAAATAGTGGTAAAAGTTTTAGGTTAGTCTTTGCAAGGTGTAAAAAAAGAGACTCATACGATCTTTCCTTATTTCGATATGCCAGTCATCAACTTTTGGTATACTCTAGCTTTATAGGCGTTTTTTTTCGGACATGCACCAATTATTGTCAAATATTTACTTCACTCTAAAAAATTTTCGTATCCTAGGAAACCCAAAGGGGCTCGGAAACCTACTCAGAAACCCTTTTCCGTTTCTGATTGGGTTTCCGAAGTTTGGAAGCGTTTCTGAAAATACCATTTGGGTTTCCGAACGTTTAGAAACCCAAGGGTTTCCGACAATACTCAATTGAACACTCTAAAAGTATTCTAGAATACCTTTTTCTTGCTTTCGAAAACCCAATAGGTTTCTCGAAAATCGGAAAGGTATTGCCGAAAACCCATATTAGTAGTAAAGCTGGATTGATACCCGAAAGAGTATGCGAAAATACCTTTTCATTTCCTAAATGGTTTCCGAAAATACCCAATGTGAAAAAGGGTATCATAGGATATCGAGATGGGTTTGCGAAAATACTCAATCTGAAAAAGGGTATCATAGAATACCGAGTTGGGTTTGCGAAAATACCCAATCTAAAAATAGAATCATTGGAAATCAAAATAGGTTTGCGAATTTTGTGTTAACACTTAAAAGAGTTCCTAAGGCTTTCAACTTTTCTGATACCTTCTTCAATTTTCTGATTGACGTCTCAAAAACTTCGCAAAAGGATAGATGTGGATTTGAACCTTATTTTTTTCATATTCTTTCTCATGCTCAGCTTTGAACATTTTTATGAAACAGCAAAACACCGATCTAATTAGTAATTGCGTATTGAATTATTCAAAATTGTTCCTGTGTAAATAGTTCCATGAAATGTGAAGCCAGATCATGCTTCATAAATAGTGGAATGTTATTTGTGCGTTTTACTGTTGATCTTATTCTTCGGAATATAAAAGAGAATACAATATTAACAAATCGGGAACAAAATAAATAAATTAGACAATTACCATATGTCTTTTTTCTTCCTTTTTTGGTTGAGTTTTGCTAAAGTAAGAATTATATTGTAGCTATCGTGGATGTCAAAAATTACACGAGGAATGAATGGCAGAAATTTCTATTCTTAAGTGAGAATTACAGTTGGTTTATTTCTAAAGATTATAGGCTTTTAAAACAAACAGAAAACTGCAACTTAAGTCCACATGTTAACAAATTAATGTCATTTATAAGACATATGAACAATATGTTTTCATATAACTTTCACA